ATTCTTGATAACGTTCTTTTTCTTTCTTTTCTTTTATCAATTGCCTCTGACGATTAGTTCAAGCACCAAACAAGACATTTTTAGTTCTTCCACCCGTTAAACGAGTTCAATCCAAATTATCAATACGAGAGAGATAGTCAGTTTTACCGAAAATCTTGCTGAAAAAAGCCAAGTATTTAGGCAATTTTTTTCAACAAAATACCTATTATCCAGCAAATTATTTTCTATTTAGTTTTATTCAAAGAATAAGTAAAGAAAATTTTTCTATGTTCCGAGAGAAAAAAATAGAGTTATTTAAGAAAGTTTATTTTTCAATAAAAATATCATAATATGCCATCCCTCAATCTCAAAAATATCACCATTAAAAATTAAAAGACAAGAATTTCAATACTTACTACTTAATAATCAATCAAGACAACCAAGATGAAGCTTTTTTCTGTTTTGAAAAAAGCAGTAAAAGAGGGTTGAAATGATTTATTAATAATTGAAAAATTTGAAATAGGTTTCGTACTTTGTAAGTACTTTAATTGATACTCAATTCCTTGCCGTGCCTTTGCTTTTTTGTAGAAATAATGCTTTTCTGGTTTAACGCGTGAAACTAGGTCGGCGACTTCTCTCAATTTGTCACTTAAATTGTGACCTGATGGAGCAATATCGATATGAGATTTCTTATCCTTGAGAATATCAATTAAAACTTCTCCAGTAGGACGATTTTTCAGAAAGCACAAATAACAGACCCGTCAATTGTTTCCTAATGCCCTAACAGTCATTCCGTCTAAGTGAGAGGTTTTTCCTTTGCCGTCTCCATAATAGATATAAATAGTAACCCTGTTTATTCTTCATATTTGTTTTTAGAGTTCACATTTATCTTGGTTTTGGCAATTGTTGCAAGTTAAGCAGCCTCCTTTTAAAGCCAATTCTCCTTCATAACACACTTTACATTTCTCTTTTTTAATTTCTAAATCGTTAAATTGGTTGTCTTTTTTTTCTAAACTTAATACTTGAAAGTCTCGACAACCGTCAACGTAAACTGTTCCACCTTTAGCTCCTTTTTCGTAAAGGCGCTCGTAGATTTTTTTTACTTGCTCAACGCTATAGCCTTTTGGAGCGTTAATGGTTTTGGAAATGGAACCGTCTATCCAGCGTTGAATAATACACTGAATGTCGACATGTTCTTCTGGGGTTAACTCCATTGCAGAAACAAATATATTAGGTAAATTATCTGAGTTGGTTTCTGGGTGAAATTTTAATCAGTCATTAACTATTTGGTAATCGACTTTAATTCATTTTCCTAATCTTCCTGAACGGTAGTGAGAAAAAGCGAAGTAAGGTTCTAGCCCAGTAGAAACTCCCACTAGAGTTCCTGTGCTACCGGTAGGAGCCACTGTTAGCAGATGAGAGTTTCGTATTCCATGAGTTTTGATTTGTTTTTGAATGTCTATGGGCAAGGTTTGGATAAAAGCTGACTTTTCTACAAATTTATTCTTATCAACTAAAAAGGGAAAACTACCTTTTTCCTTAGCCAATTTAATAGAAGTTTCATAGGCAGTCAAGCAAATAGTTTCAAATAATTTATCTACTAACAAATTAGCCTCTGGTGAGCCATACCGTAATCCTGCGTAGATTAAGAAATCGTGTAGTCCCATTACTCCCATGCCAATTCTTCTTTCGCCTTTAGCTTGAATGGTGTTTTTTTTTAAAAAATAAAAACTTGCATCAACTATGTTATCTTGGAATCTAACACAATTTTTTACTGTTTCGCGTAATTCTTCTCATTTAATTTCTGAATTTTCTTTATTAACAAAAGAGGTCAAATTAATTGCGCTTAAATTACAAACCGAATAAGGAGCAAGCGGTTGCTCTCCGCACGGATTAGTAGCCACTACTTTCTGTCCATAACCTTGAACATTAGTAAATTTATTAGCCCGATCAAAGAAGAAAATTCCTGGTTCAGCAGAGTAAGTAGCGCAAAAAATGATCAAATTTCATAATTCTCGAGCTTTAATAGTGCGATACTTTTTTAGTTTGTATCCTTTTTTTTCTCACTCATAAGCGTCGCCTATTTTATGTCATTCGTGATCGTAATCACTCTTCTCTTGAAGAGTATAACTATCAAGATCCGGGAATACTAAATCTCAATCTTGGTTACTTTTTACTGCTTCCATAAATCGATCAGAAAGGCAAACTGAAATATTAGCTCCGCTCAAAAAATCGGGATTTCTGACTTTTCATTGACCTTGCTGGACCAGTTTTTCCCGCAGGTTACTCAATCGCGAATCGTTTGCATTATTGGCTAAAAAAATATTGATCATTTGTTCTTCTTGGTCTGATAATTTCACAAATTCTAGTTTATTTTTAATTTCTTGTGCTATCCACTTGTCTTGAGTGTTTTTCATTAATTGAGTTAAAACATGAGGATTTTGAACTTTAGCTACTATAAATTCGATAATGTCTGGATGCCAGTCAGTTAACATAATCATTTGCGCACCTCGGCGAGAACCGCCTTGTTCAACCAAATTCGTTAATAGAGAAAGATCGTTTAATCAAGAAACTGTGCCACTGGACCTTCCGCCAACAGATTTTACTGAGGAATTTCTTGGACGTAAAGCACTACCGTTACTGCCAACTCCACCTCCTCTGGACATTATTTCCATCACCTCCTCGCGATGTCGAGCAATTCCATTTCGTGAGTCTGGGATATAGGGCATGACATAACAGTTGAAATAAGTTACTTGATTTTTGATACCTGCTCCGTGCAGTATCCTTCCAGCCGGAATAATTTTGAAATTCCTAATTTGTTCATAAAAAGAATGAAAATATTTTTCTTTTAAATTTGCTTCTTTTTCTTGGCTAGCCATTTCTTTGGCTACTCGTCAAGCAATTTGCTCGTAAAATAGTTCTAAGGGTTTTTCAATTTCAAAACTTTGTTTTAGTATTCTTGTTGGATTGTCGCTATATAGTGAGTCGGGCTCGATATTACTTGCAAATTCTTCTTCAATTTCAATAACCCAAAATGAATTTCCTCGATTATCGACTATTTTGTCAATTATTTCTCCAACCCCTCGAGCAGGAAACTTTGGATCAAACTTGATAACTGTCAAAACTACATCACCAACTTGCAGAGTTTTTCTTTCTTTATCTTTTTGTGAGTAGCGATCTAACATCACTAAACGAGAAATTCCTTGCAAAGTTAAAGAAAAGTTTTCTTGGATCGGACAAAGGTGGTTAAAATTTTCATTGATGACCCTATTTAGTCGGTCTATGTAGTTTTGAGAATAGAGGCTATTTTTGTTCATTTAAATAATTTTAGGAATTTTTTTTGTCAAAAATTTAACACAACTTTTTCTTTTTTATTAAAGAATTTTTCCCACTAATTTCAAGACCAAAATTTCTCTAAAATATTAATTGTTAATAAGCGTGAAGATGAGAATAGATAAAAGCGTTTTTAAGAGAAGATAATTCATATTTACGAAGACAAAGGAAATGAAAATAAGTATTTTGGACAGCGTGTCTATTAGGATTCTTATAATGGTAAGTAAATGTTAAAAGTTTGATAAGTAGAAGCCTCCTTTAAAAACGTTATTTTGAGAAAAAATTTATGCGAAAAAAGGTATTAAATGCGGAGGGGAAAAATAAAGTGGAAGCAAAAGTCTCTTATCAAAAATTTACCTCCCAAATAATTAAGTGCCTTTTTGTTACAGTAATAAAAACTATACTTTCCAATATTTTGTTTACAGTGATTTGTAATCTTTTTTTTCACTCTGGAGAAGACTATTCAACAACCTTCCCTTGATACTTAAAAAAGACCTTAGTTGGCACTGACCTAAATAAAGAAAAATTTATCCTACTAGGTTTGTTATTAGCAATTTCTTATGCTCTAACTGATTATTGAGAAAACTTATGAAAAGAAAAAACAACAATAAAAATAAACAATTATATTAAAGGTAATCTACTGAGAAAGTTTCGTTTTTTGCCTTTGGAAAAAAAACTGAAATCTACAAAACAAATTAGCACTTTGGCGGAGATTGAGAGTAGTAATGTGAGTAATTATTGAGTTTATTACAATATTACTATTTGCGGAGGCATTGTTTACACTTTTTTATTGCTTACAAATTGCTTTGACAAAGAAGCAAGTTTTGCTTGAAGAGCTTTCTCTTTAGCTATTTTTTGATCGCTTCTAATCAGTGCGGTTATTTATTTCTTTATTAAGTCAGCGAGCGAACAAGGAGAAAAATACAAAAAAGAACTAACTCAAGAAAACGCTCTAATTAATAAAGAAATAGAGAAATCCATTTTAGTTGATGGTATGGGATTAATTTCTCAGCATGAAAAAAATCAGCAAATTGCGACTAATAAAAGTACGAGACAAAAAGTTACTTTTCGCAAAATAACTTCATTAGGAAAAGTTATCCCTAATAATTTGTTGCTCAATATTTTTCCTTTTCTTTTACTGCTGCTTTTAAAAAAAGAGTTTAAAGAATTAGGAGGTGCGAGTTTAAACAATATTTGGTTAGTGATTAACAATTTGGTATGAGTTTTTGGTTGCCTCTGAGATTATGGAGATTATTCTTCTTCTCTCTTTCGCATTAATTCCTTCTTAGCTTTACCAGAAAAAAATGA